AGACAGGATTGCCCTGTCTGGCCTTGAACTCATTGTGTGGCCCAGATTGTCTTTGAACTTGAGATCCTCCTGCCTCAGTCTCTAGTAGTTGGGATCACAGGCTTACCTAACCAGGTCTGGTTCTGATACAGATAATCTGTGAGATTAGTTATGCTCAATAAGAAAATACATAAATACGAAGCTCAGCTGTGGATGGCAAGTAACCTTAAGCTAGCCATCTATTGTGGCTAACTCAGTCTAACTAGGCTAAGGGATGCCCAGCTAGCTGGTAATACATTATTTGGGGGTTTGTCTCTGAAGGTGTATCCAGATAGAGTAGCAGCACTTCACACTGCAGACTGAGAGGATTTCCCAGTGTGTGAGCTTTACATACATTTTATTATGGTCTGTTATTCTCATCCCTTCATTTTATTGTTAGGTGCTGGTTTTAATCCTGCACGGTGCCCAATTTATAGATAATACTTTTATCATAGATGTTTCCAGGTAAAGGGGAACTGTATTTAGGGTGTGGTGCTCGGTAATTCAGGCCTCCACTGGGGTCTCGGGATGTGCCTGTTAGACATTTTATTGAACAATGAAGTGAGAGGCCCTGAATTCTTATGCCTCTTTAATAATTTCAGGGGCTTTTGATAGTATTTTCTCCTCCGCAGTGAGCCCCCCCACCTGTCCTGCATAGTCCAAGCTCCTGGAAAACTCTGGGCCTCAGCTCTCTCCTCTAAGGACAGTAGGGGGCGACCGTGACAACACCGTTTCCTGTTTCAATCTTAAGAATCATGAGTTGTCTGAGAAGCGTCTTCAGAGTAGATTATTCTCGGGTTGGCACAGAGAAAGGTGACGACAGATAGCAGGCCAATATCATGGATCCCAGGCAGCTGTGAAATAGATGTCATTTGGCTGCTCCCGGAGAAACCTGGCCTTCGGGGACCGTCAGACTATGCTTCAGGACCGGGAAAGGACAGAGCCTGTGTGCTCCTGGTGCAGCAGCATTGCGTGGGGGACAGACAGACCGCTCTGAACTAACTCTGTCATTTCCAGAGCTGTCTCCTTGAACGCTCATGACCCACCACTATGAAATAGCACAGCATCCTCACTAGATAGCACAGCCCCTCCTAGAGATGGGGCAGTCCCACGGGGATTTTTAACTAGGTCGCTTCCTTTTGCCCGGCTGTGTCAAAGAAGATCTACCTTACCTGGTTGGTTGTTTGCGAAGTGAGGGGGGCTTAATTTGTGCTGAGGGCCCTGACCGAGGCCCTTCTTTGGGAAATGCCTGTTTGATAAAGAGTGCCACCTGCCCGGCCCCAAGGCTCTAGGAGAGGGCGTGGTACTTTGTAATGTGGCCTGGCTGTTTGTGTTTCTGGCGTTCAGGGAAAGGCTGCTCCTAATTAAAGGCGTAAATGCTTTAATCCCTGGCCTGGGGGCTTCCCATGGCGCATTAGCCCTGTTAGGAAGGAAGTGGATTGTAATCCCTTTAATAGAAGCCTGGAGGAACTGGAGCTTCCATTTCTTCCTGTGATCTAACAATATTAACAAGCTGAATTTGCATAGACAGAAGTTTGGGGGCCCGGCTCTCCCTTCGGGGTACAGGGGTTGAAGTGGGATTCACGCAAAGAAGGGCTTTGGGAGCTTTCTGCAGCAATAATTAAAGTCCTACAGCATACTAGACCTGGAGTGAAGTAGCTAAATGCACATCACCTCCTTCACAGTCAAGCCTGTGCGTGTGTATTTGGGCAAGTGTTTTTACCAATGTAGAGGTGATTATTTTCACTGGAGGAAGGAGGGGAGGACTGAAGAACAAATGATGTCCCTGGGAGCACTGGATCCTGTTCAGGTAGTCTCCGTCGCTCGCTTCCCCCATTTTGCAACCTTTTAAACATGGTTTAGTGTAGCACAGCCATGCTTCTGCAGTCCTATTGGTTACTAAATTTTTATTTAATACGTCTTACCCTACATCACACAATGTGCCTCCCACACATACACCCAAGGTGAAGTATCTGGAACCCTTGAGGTCAGGATCAACCTTCAGAATTACAGAGAAAGCTATACAAAACTAAACAAGACAAAATTTACTTTCCAGCATATTTCCCATCCCTTACAAATGTAGAAAACATATATTTGCATGTTAATAAAGCAGATACTAGAGAGGCGTATAACTCTGGGTGATGGTGGTACATGCAGAGGCAGGTGGATGTCTGTGAGTTCCAGGACAGCCGGGGCTACAAAGAGAAACCTTGTCTCAAAAAACCAAAAGAGAAAGAGAGCTATATAACAATGGGGACTGTGAGGAGAGAGAGAGAGAGAGAGAGAGAGAGAGAGAGAGAGAGAGAGAGAGAGAGAGGAGAGAGAGAGAGAGAGAGAGAGAGAGAGAGAGAGAGAGAGAGAGAGAGAACAGTGAGGTCTGTGGAGAGGGCTCAGTTAGTTGGTACAGTGTTTACCACACTAGCATGAAGACCTGAGTTCAGATTCCCCACATCCACATAACAAAGCCAGGGCATGGTGGAACATATCTGTGCTCTCAATGCTGTGGAGGCAGAGAGGTGGATCCCTCCAGCTCACGGGCCAACTAGCCTACCCAAATTAGGTTCAATGTGAGACCCTGTCTCAAAAGGTGGGGAGTGATGTTGACTTCTAGTTTCTACAAGCGTGCAAGCATGGTCCATTTAGGCATCATGAATTCTGCTGCTACGAGCAGTGGCATCCAGTATCTCTGATCCCCTGCTTTTAATTCCATTTGATTTATGACTAAAAGTGAACTTTCCAAACCATATGGTTCTTCTCCATGTGTTTTTTTAAACATTTATTTATTTATATTTGTATGTGCATGTGGCGGTCAGAGGGCCACTTTCAGGAGTTGGTTCTCTCTTTCCACCATGCGAATCCCAGGTTCGAACACAGGTAGTGCCACTGGGTGGCAAGAATCTTTCGCTACCGAGCCACCTTGTGTGCCCCTGTGCTTAACTTTTGAGAGACTTCCAACCTATTTTCCCTAGCGGCACCGTTTTCCATCACCACCAAGAGTGTGTGAGAGTTTGACTCTCCCTGAATCCTCAACCGCACTTGCTACTTTTTTTTTTTTGGTTTTTCGAGACAGGGTTTCTCTGTGTAGCTTTGCGCCTTTCCTGGAACTCACTTGGTAGCCCAGGCTGGCCTTGAACTCACAGAGATCCGCCTGGCTCTGCCTCCCGAGTGCTGGGATTAAAGGCGTGCACCACCACCACCCGGCTACACTTGCTACTTTCTGCTCTGTGCTGCTTGTTTTTAAATAGCCTTACTAGTACAAGTAAAAGAGAGTAAGACTTTGAAAAATATGTGAGCTGGGCTCTAAGGCAATATGAAACCCACAGAGGCGTGGGTTTAGCTAAACCCAGGCTGATGTCATCAAGCAACTACTTCTCCTGGCAATAGCATCTCCCCTCCAGGACCATCCCGTCAGGTTTGTTCTGGCTCAGTTAGTCCAGATGTACTGAGACTCCAGGAGGGCTAAGCCAGGGACAGGGGCACTGACATTCAGGGAGGGGACAACTAGCTACCCACATCACAATGACCAGGGCCAGTGACCAAAGCAGTTTCAATTGTGTAGGTCAGGGCTGATCTCCGGGGCAGGCCTGTCCGTGAGACAGTGCCAACAGGACTTCCCAGAGAGCAGGGACTCCTGAGGTTGGACGGGCAGGAACGGTGAGTCATGTCAAAAGGAGAGGAGGTAGGCTCTGAACTAAAGCGGGCCCTGGGCTGTCTGTGTTCAGGAAGGAGGAAACGTGGAGTATCAGCTGAGGTCTGGCCAGTACCTAGCCAGATCACAGCTGGCTGATCAGCATGGACCGCAGGGCAGAGTAGTTCCTGGCAGTGAAATGAAGGAGTGGTTGCTGGAGATGTAGTTCCGTTGGTGGGGTGCCTACCTAGTATGCACAAGGCCCTGAGTTCAATTCTTAGCACCACTTAACACAGACAGGGTGGTACACACTTGCTTTTTGGTTTCTTTTCTTTTTGGTCTTTGAGATCAGGTCCTGGCTGGCCTACAACTCACTATGTAGACCAGACTAGCCTTGAATGCCAGAGATCCACCTGCCTCTGCCTCCTGTGTGGTGTACCCTTGTAACACCCGGTACTCAGGAGGTTGACATAGGACGATCAGAACTTGAGGTGATTCTCAATTGCACTGAGGTTTGAGGCCAGCCTGGGCTGCCTGAAACCCTGTCAGAAAGGGGTGTGTGTGTGTGTGTGTGTGTGTGTGTGTGAGAGAGAGAGAGAGAGAGAGAGAGAGAGAGAGAGAGAGACAGAGACAGAGAGACAGAGACAGAGACACAGACACAGACACAGACACAGAGACACAGAGACACAGAGACACAAATAGAAACAGAGACAGAGAGTCCTACAACATGGCTTCCTTCAAGATTTCAGGGCTGGGCATGGGGGACATTGGACCTTTATGTTCATCCTTCGTCTGGGAATGCCTCACAACTTTCTTTACCTTGGACAGCCTGCTTCTGAACTGGAGTGCTGGAACCCCAGGCCTGGGCCTTGCCTCCTCCGGGCAGGGCGAGCCCTGGTTTACACTGGCTGGGGAGATCCCACATTGCGTACATCTCTGCAACTCAGTGTCATCGATGTGTTAGAAGCTCAAAGTGGCCATGCTGGGGGATTTACTTCCTAGGGATTGGCAGATGCTGTAAAGTCACAGCTTCTGTTCCTTCAAAAATTGGTTATTAAGTTTGCTTTGCTATTTGATGCACCTTTTGGAGAGGTGGAGCATCAAAGTAGTGAATTCTAATTCCTCCGAATCCTGCTTATAGTCTCCTTGTCACAGAGCCCATACACCCATCCCTAGTGCCTCCGAGATTGGCTCCAGGGAATATGCAAGGTAGAATCTTAGGGAAGGTGGAGAGGGGATGAACTAAGGGGACCAGAGTAGTCCTGCTTGCTTGTATAGCTGTGGAAATAGTGGGATATTGCCTCTCTTTGAGACAGAGCAGGGCTAACTGATATGTCTTTCTAGGTCCTTGGCCATGGCATGTATGGTGAACCCCAAAAAGGTGAGTAATGTAGGTTTCTGTCCCCTATAACAGTCTCAGAGTGAGCTACACAACACAAGGGAAAGTCTGAACCATTCTGGAGATTTATTTGTTCATCATGTGCTTACTGGGCACTCATGGTGTGATGTACCAGGCATTGGTGCTGGACTTTAGAGACTGAGAGAGCTAAAACAAGGTCTCAGTCTAGAGTACTTCATTAAGTTTGTTATTGTGGTGGTTGCTTTTGTTTTTGAGTATGTTTATTTTTTGTGTTTTTGAGACTGAGTTTCATTATGCAACCCTAGCTAACCTGGAACTTGTTAAGTCTTACTGTGTAGACCAGGCTTGTCTCAAACTCACAGAGATCAGCCTGTTTCTGCCTCCTCAATGCTGAGATTAAACCACCACACTTGGCTAAATTCTTTTTTGTTTGCTTTTTTTTTCAAAAGATTTGTTTATTTTTTATTTTGTGTGTGTGTGTGTGTGTGTGTGAGTGTGTGTGTGTGTGTGTGTGTGTGTGTGTGTGTGTGTGTGTGAGTGTTTTGCATCCATGCATGTGTATGTGTGTGCCTGGTGCTCACAGAAGCCAGAAGAAGGCATTGAATGCCCTGAACCTGGAGTTATGGATGGTTATGAGACTCTATATGGGTGCTGGGAACTGAACCTAGATCCTCCACAAGATCAGCAAGTGCTCTTAACTGCGGAGCCGTCTTTCTGTCCCAGCTTGCTTGTTCTTTGGTGGTTTTTAGGTTTTGTCTGTTTGTTTTTGGTTTTGAGACAAGATCTCTCTCCATAGTCTTGGCTGTCCTGAAACTCACTCTGTAGACCAGGCTGGCCTCAAACTCATAGAAATCTACTGTGTCAACTAAGCTTTACTTCCTCCTTTCCCAAACCTTATCTCTAGTTCCAGATCTCCCTTTAACTATCACCAGAGGCATCTAGCTGTGCAGGTTGCCTAGCGACTGAGCACACTTTCCCCCACCCTGCAGAAAAATGGCAGATAGCTTGGACAGATATGAGTCACAGGAAAAAAGAAGACAGTTTTATTTTCTCCCATTGACTTAGCAACTTAAAGATTCTTAACATTTTCTATCAATCATGTTTAAGATTACAGTTGAGCACATAAGAGCCCTCTCCTTAGATATTACCTGAATTTAGCCTTTAGTTAATTTATTTTCCCATTGGTTATTTCCCTTTGGGGTTGCAAATGATAATTAACGGTTATTGCCTCTCAGTGTGATTCTTATCACCCCTCCGTTTGACCCTGGAAGCCTGGCTTTGCACTGCCAAGGGAATACTGCTTGTAAGTGTATACATACCAGGACTTCCAGGGCACAGAGGAGAGAGAAGAGAAAAGAGAATGGAAGAACTAGATGGGTAAGAACTTGAGAGGAACAAACTGAGATGCGGAAGAAGTAGATTGAAGGGCTAGAAGAGAGTACTGGAGGAATGAGATGGAAGATGAGGAAGAGCCGGATGGGGAAGAACAAGATGAGGAAGAACGAGATGAGGAGAGAGAAGGAGATGGGAGAGGAGATGATATGGGAAGGAACAAGATGGATGAGAACCTAGAAGGGGCAGAACTAGATGAAGGAATTAAGATAGAACCTAGAGGGAACCGCAGACAAGTGTAGAGAGAAATCAGGCTAGAAATGAGCTAAATATGAGAGCAGAATATAGGCTTGTAACTGACACAGAATAATAAAGTATATGGACTAAGGAGTTTCGTGTACATAGATTCATTTCTTCTCATCAAAGATTAATTATCAGCTGGTTGTAGATTCTTCCCGGACCCTGGGAGGGGACTATCGAGGGGCTGGACCCCCATAGTCCCCGATAATCTACCTGCCTCTGTCTCCCAAGTGCTGGGATTAGAGGTGTGCGCCACCATGCCTGGCTAACAGCCAGCATCTTTTGTGGTCCATGTGTTTTGTATTCCTGAACTTCCTGCTTCTACCTCCCAAGTGCTGTATTACAGGTGTACCACCATGCCCAGTTACTTCATTAAATTATTCTCTTAAGATTTATTATTTGTGTGTGTGTGGCTGTGTGTGTGTGTGTGTGTGTGTGTGAGTACAGATGCCCTCAGAGGTCACAGGCATCAATCAGATCTCCCTAGAACTGAGCTACAGGTAGTTGTGGCTGCCTCATGTCGGTCCTGGGAATCGAACTGTGGTCTCCTGAAGGAACACTTGCACAGTATATTACTGAAGCAGATGGGAAAGGAGGAAGGTTTTTGTTCTTGAAAGCTGGGGCATAAAGAGGTAGAGACTGACTGGGGAAAGGGACATTTGATCTGAGTCTTAGAAGATGCCCAGGAGTTTGCTTGTTGGCAAGGGCAACAGTTTTTGTTTTCATCAGGCAGTGAGCATGTGCCAGGCTCCTGTGATGGTGGGAAGAGGGCCCTGAGGGACAGAAGCCAGATTCCCCACGACTCCTGATGCCAGGCCCCAAAGCTGCCTGTGATTTTATAGTCAAGAAGTCTTGAAAGAGCATTAAGTTGAAGAATGACAGGGCCAGGCTCTTGTTTTCTTTTCTCACTTGTCCTCTAGAACTACGTGGACTTAGACATATACCAGAGCTCGTACATGGTCGACTATAAGCCCTTCACGAAGCACAAATACTCCAGAGTCACGCCACAAGAGGTAGGGGTAGTTGCAGGCCTGTTATCCATTCTATGAGTCCCTGGAAGGATCTTTATTATTTTATTTTATATGTATTTCACCTGATGTATGTGTGTGTAGTACAAAAACTGTGTACGCATACAGTGCCCGAAGAAGTCAGAAGAAAGTGTTGGAGCCTCTGGAACTGGAATTATGGATGGTCGTGAGCCATCAAAGCCAGCGCTGGTGACTGAACCCTGGTCCTCTGACTGTTCTTAATCACTGAACTATTTCTCCAGGCCCATGATTATTATTTTAATGTGGACACTGTGGCTTTTAAAATAGCCGGTGACTGGGGACTTCACTTAGAGGTTTTGCATGTTTGTGTGTGCATACACATGCGTGCACGTGATATGCCAAAATGTATAGCACATGTAAAACTTGAAGTATTATACACTTATAGTTTAAATATCACTGATAAGGGCCAGCAAGATGGCTCAGCAGATAGAGGTGCTTGCCACCAAGCCTGAGTTCAATTCCCAGGACCCACATGGTAGAGGGAGTGAACGAACTCCCACAGTTGTATTTTGACTTCCACATGTACCATGGCATGTGTGTGTATACCTCCACATATGCCATGGCGTGTACACGTGCATGCACAACAAATAATTAAATGTAACAAAAAATGTAAATAACATTGAGAAAGCCAACACTAATGTACCCATTAGTAACCAGCTTAAGCATGGCATGCGTATTCCTCCTCTTACACACATATTCTGAATGTTAGCCTAATCCTATGTGTTTATAGAATTCCTTTAATTTTTCTTGTTGTTTATTTTGAAATAAAGTCTCACGTGGTCTAGCATTGAGCTTGCTATATAGTCAAGGATGCCCTTGAACTTGAATTCCTGATACCCCTGCTTCCACCTCTTGGTTACTGGGAAGATAGGCATGTGCACCAGGCCAGGTTTAATGGTGCTGGGGATTGAACTCAGAACCAGGCAAGCACTCTCTCAGTGAGCCATCTGCCCAGACCTAGGCCCCTCCTTCTCTCCTGTTCCTCCTCCTCCTCTTTTACTCTAAAGAGAGAATTACTTGAGCTGGGGAGATTACTCATTTGATAAACTACTTGCTGTACAAGCATGAGGATCTGAGTTTGATCCCTAAAACCCACGTAAAAAGCCAGGCATAGTACCGCGCGCGTGCGTGCTTATAACCCCAGTGCTAGGGAGGCAGAGACAGGCGGATCCCTGGAGCTCATCGGCCATGCGGTCTAGCCAGATGGGCACCAGTGAAAGATGCCGTTTCAAAAGATAAGGTAGATCTGAGAAACAACATATGAAATTGATCTCTGGTCTCCACAAGTACTTGTACAGATGTGCACATGACCCCACCCCCCTCCCTATGGGTCGCTTTCATGAGAGCACACACACACACACACACACACACACACACACACACACACACACACTCTCACACTCACACAGATTAAATAAAAATAAAATGTACTATGTAATGAGGAACAATTTGTATGTGTGTTGGCCTGCATACATGTATGTGCACCATGTGTATGCCTGGTATCCACGAAAGCCAGAGAACGGCATCAGATCTTTTGGTACTGAAGTTAGTTGGTTTTAAGCTGCCATGTTGGTGCTCGGAACCAAACTCCAGTCCTTTGCAAGAGCAGCAAGTGCTAATAACCACTGAGCCATCTCTCCAGCCCCATTAGTATGTAATTTTTGAAAAGTGAATCGTTCATATCCTTCCGTAGCTCTCATTCTTGCTAAGCATTGTGGGTATCACTCACGAACTCTCCACAGTGTGGGTGCTCCTTCCCTTGGTGGACACGAGCTGTTTTCTTCCCACTTGGATGCTTCTAAGAAGAGGAAGCCCATCCTAATGTGCAAGAGTTTCTTATGCCAGGAGTGGGGTTGCTAATTCTCAAGTGTGTGAGCAACACAGTTTCCCCTAAAAGCTTCTAGTTCATACCATTGTTAGCAGTGGGTGGCCACGGTGATACTGCTGTCTTGTGCAGCTTGAAAGGGTTCAAAAATTCGGTGAGTGTGGAATCATATGGTCCGTGGTCATAATTTTCCTTTTTCAGTTTTTGTGTTGTTTTTTCAAGACAGGGTTTTTCTCTCTGTGTAACCCTGGCTATGCTGGTATTGCCTCGATGACTGGTCTAGAACTCAAAGCTCCACCTGCCTTGCCTCTACCTCCCAAGGCTGGGATTAAAGGTGTGTGCTATCACTGTCCAACTTTTTCTTTTTTTAAATTTTATATTATTTATGTTCATATGTGTGTAAGGTACATTTGTGCCAGGATGCCCACACACACATACTACACAATTGCACACACAGTAAATAAAAGTGCTATAAAAAGAAATCAAAACTGGCTGGGCTTGTGGTGGCCCATACCTTTAATTCCAGCACTTGGGAGGCAGAGGCAGGTGGATCTCTGTGAGTTTGAGGCCAGCCTGGTCTACAGAGCAAGTTCTAGTACTGCCAAGGCTATACACAGAGACCCTGTCTTGAAAAACCAAATAAATTTAAAAAAAATGTATGTGTCTGGGTCTTTTGCCTGCATATATGTCCATCCCACACGCATGCCTGGTGTCCACAGAGGCCTCAGGGGTGTCCAGTCCTCTGGAACTGGAGCTATAGATGGTTGTGAGCCACCACATGGGTGCTGGGGACGGAACATGGTCCTTTGCAAGAGCAGCCAATGTTCTCAATATTCAAGTCATCTCTCCAGCCCTGAACTTCCCATTTTTAAAAGTAGTGTGGCTTTTGTCTGGAGTGCTTTGAGGGGCACTGCCTCGGGGACCTTTCTCAGTCTTCCCTTTGTTTCTACAGCAGGCCAAACTTGACACTCAGCTCCGAAGCAAAGAGTTTTACCGGCCCATGCCCAACCCCAACCCCAAGTTGGAGGATGGGTACCCTGCCTTCAAAAGACCCTACATGACCGCAAGAGACTTGGGAGTCCCTGGCTTCTTCCCACCACAGGCGCCCGTCACCCCTGTGAAGAACGAGAGCAGGTTCACCAGCACCTGCCATGTTGCATACCCAGCTTCCCTGGCTCTGTACATGGCCCAGTTTGAGCCCCACCGGCTTCATCAGAGAACAGACTTCCCGTGCCTCATGGAGCCTGAGCTGCAGCCTGCTCCAGACGTGGCCAAAGGCTATCTTCTCCTCCCTGGCTGTTCCTGTCCTTCTCGTCAGAGAGTCAAGGTCCCCATCTTGAACAGGTGGGGCCCCTTGATGCCATTTTACCAGTAGAGGTGTGAGAATGCCTGTGGCTTCGATGCGCGAGGAAATTCCACACCAGCGCTCACAGAGAAGGCACCAAAAATAAACCGGGGAAGATGTTCCTTATGGCAAGCGGTATTGTTTCATCATAACCATCGGCCTCATCTCAGCGCAGGAGGAGGGAGGGAAAGGGAGAATGTGTGTGTGTGTGTGTGTGTGTGTGTGTGTGTGTGTGTGTGTGTGTGTCCAGCTGGAATTAGTGTCATTCTTATTTTTTATAGTTTTGGAGTGTGAGTATCGAATGGATGCATAGCTGTGTGAGTGGTGGCGCCTGCATGCCACGGTACGTGTCTGGAGGTCAGAGGACAATCTTAGGTGGCAGTCCTTATGCTTTAAAATAGGGCCTTCTGCTGCTTACCCTAGGCTAGCTGGTCATAAGCTTCTGGGGAGGGGGCGTGTCTCCCATCTCTGCTTCTATTTAGTTGTAAGAGCACTGGGATTAAAGGTGCACTATTGTACCCAACTTTACATGGGTTCTGGGGATTCCATCTCAGGTCCTCATGCTTACACACTGTGGTAGTTTGGATGTAATCTCGTAGGGAGTGGCACTATTAGGAAGTGTGGCTTTGTTGGAGTGGGTAAGGCCTTGTTGGAGGAAGTGCGTCACTGTGGGGGCGGGCTTTGAGGTTTCCTATGCTCAGGATACCGCCCAGTGTGTCAGTTGACTTCCTGTTACCTGCAAGAATAAGGACTCTCAGCTACTCTAGCACCACATCTGCCTGCATGCTGCCGTGTCTCACCATGATGATAATGAACTGAACCTCTGAAACTGTGAGTCTTCCCAATTAAGTGTTTTCTTTATAAGAGTTGGTATGATCATGGTGTCTCTTCATAGAAATAGAAACCCTAACACACATACAGCAAGAGCTTTATGCCCTGAGCCATCTCCCGAGCCCATCATATTATTTATTTTTTGGTGGGAGTGGCTTTTGTTTTGTTTCTTTGTTTTTTTTTTCCATGCATTTTGGTGGCGGCCAGGGGTGGAAGGGTTGCACCACAGTGTGCTTGTGGAGGTCAGCAGACAATTTGTGGGAGTCAGTCAGTTCTCTCCTGCCATCACATGGGCCCTGGATTTGAACTCAGGTTGTCAGGCCTGGCAGCAAGTGCCCTTACTGCCAAGCCGTCTCGCTGGTCCTTGGTGAGATGTTTTGGAACAAGGTCTCATTTTATAGCCAACTGGCCTGGACCTTACTGGAGTGGGTAGCTGCTCCAGCTTTGACCTTGAAGCACCCCCTAGTGAGGCAGCAGGTAACTGCTGCACGGCCTATAACTTGCCCCTGGGGCATGGCCTCTTTGGACCCTTAAGACCTGAGATGTGTAGGGCTGGCTCTCTTGGCTACCTCATGATCCTGGATGCTGGATTGCAGACCAAGTCAGAGTTCTCCAGAGAACTGCGTTGGCCTGCCCCTTGCCTCTCCCGGATTCTGTAACTTATCCATTTGCTGGTTGTAAGTCACCCCAAAATAAACTTCTTTTGACTACTATCAGATAAACTCCGTGGAATTGCCTTATTAATTGCCACTTTACCTTACTATATAACTTAGGCTGACCTTGAATCTTATGGGATGCTCTGGCTCAGCCTCCCAAACTCTGGGATTACAGGCAGGAGGCACTATGTGTGGGTTTGTGTCATATTCTATTATAATTAAGAGTCTTTCTTTATAATAAGTAGAACTCCTCTCCTGTCCTATGTCATGGGTTTAACAATCTCAAAGTGTGTGTAAGTGCAATCATGTGGGGGTCACTTTTAACTACAGAAGCCAACTCAGGCAATAAACTGAAAAGATCCATAGCAGCAGACCTCCTGTAGAGTCTTACTGTTTCAGGCATTTTCTGACAGATATGATTTTAATGTCTTTCCAGAGAGCTTGGGTGTTGGACATTAACTCCCGAGTTCACAGGTTACTGGTATTTGGAAGTGAGATTTGGGAAATAATTAGAATTGGAGGAGTTAATGATGAGGGGGATCATGATGACATTTGTGGCTTTATTTTTATTTAATTTTATTTTAGTGTGTGAATTGATGTCCCGCCTGCTTGTCTGTGCACCATGTACATACCTGGTGCCCTCAGAGGCCATAAGAGAGTGTCAGATCCTGGAATTATGAATAGTTGTGAGCCCTCACTGTGGGTGCTGAGAATCGAACCTGGATCCTCTGGAAGAGCAGCCAGTGCTCTTAACCACTGAGCCATCTCTCCAGCCACATTTGTGGCAGAGGAAGAAGGAGAAGGAGGAGAAAGAAGAGGAAGAATAACAAAGGAGAAGGAGAAGAGGAGGAGGGCAAGGAGGAGGAGGAGAAGGAGAGGAGAGACCTGAGCTGGCACCCTGCCCCATTTCCCCATGAAATGAATGCCCTCCACCATGCTATAATGAAGGACAACAGCTTCTCCCAATCTTTTTTTTTTTTTTTTTTTTTTCCGAAATAGCAATCATTTCTATCAGACTTTGGTCGCTAAACAGTGTCATCACATGCAACTTCTCCCAATCTTGTACCATATAGGCTGTCATCCCTTGTCATTTTTTGGCCCTGTGAGGGACCCTTGCAAGTAGGCTGCAGAAACAGGGCTAGGGCTTGGAGGTAAGGCCAACAGTCCTTGACTATGAATATTCCTCGAGATTTACAAAATACAGCCACAGGTGCTATCTTCCTTCATGCTCATTTTTCCCCAGACTTAGGAGTTTCCATGCCCCTTTCATAGCAGGGACAAGGGACCAAGCAGCTGGACAGGGATTCACACTGTGGTTTCAGACTTCTGTTGAATGGCTTCTTCCAGGTGAACTTTACCCTCAATCCACACTCTCCACTGGTAACAACTTCTGAGAGTGCCTGCCTGGAGAGAGCACCTGGGCTGCTTGAGAAAATGTGGGCATCAGGTCCAGATGGACATTGTAGGATCTGGAGCCAGTTCGTGGGATTCATGCGTGTATCCAGTTCAGAGGAATGACTGGTGCTGTATGCGAGAAGCAACAGAATTCAGCACTGAGCTCCTGGGAGAAGGGAACAGCAGTCAGGCTCTCCTGGAGAGAAATATAATAGATGTGGGTTAGGAGGTCTGTGTTGAAATATGTGAAATCGTTCAGGTGGAGCCACATTCCAGAATGTGCCCATTAACCTTCAAATGTGTGTGTATATTACATTATATATAATGTATACACACTTTTTTTCATTATTTTGGTGGAAGGCAAGAGTGGAGGGGCTGTACACACACACACACACACACACACACACACACACACACACACACACACACACACACACACACGGTATGTATGTGTGGTAGTTTGAAAGAAAGTTGCCCCCAAAGGGAGTGGAAACATTAGGAAGTGTGGCCTTATTGGAGTAGGTGTGGTCTTGTTGGAGGAAGTGTGTCACTGTGGAGGTGGGCTTTGAGGTCTCATATATATGCTCAAGATACTGCCCAGTGCCTCAGACCACTTCCTGTTGCCTGCAAGATGTGAGACTCTCGGCTCCTTTAGCACCATGTCTGGCTGCATGATGCCATGTCCCATTATGATGATAATGAACTGAACCTCTGAACTGTAAGCCAGTCTCAATTAAATGTCATGATTCAGGATTTTTTTTTTTCCGAGACAGGGTTTCTCTGTGTAGCTTTGTGCCTTTCCTGGAACTCTCTTTGGAGACCAGGCTGGCCTCGAACTCACAGAGATCCACCTGCCTCTGCCTCCCGAGTGCCAGGATTAAAGGCATGCACCACCACCACCCGGCCATGATTCAGGATTTTAAATTCTGGAAATTGCTAGTGTTTTTGGAATTTGGCTGCCTATTCTTCTTGGCTTGTGGATGGCTTCATCTCAGCATCCCATTCTTTTCCACATCCCATTCCTCTCGGCTTGTGGGTAGCTTCATCTCATTTATTAAATGCCAGTCTATCATTGAGAGGTTAGACTCCATCGGCCTTCTTACTCTTTCAAATATAACTTTCAGCTACTGTTCCACTGCACATCAGAAGCCATCGATCCATTGCCTGTTCGGCTGCCTTCAAAGAAAGGGGCACTATACCTTTTCTGGATTACAAAACCACTTCAGCAATGGTGCCATATTGTCCTGGCCTCAGAGGATGCCTGTTGCCAAAGCTGCAACCACACTTGTCTTGGCAAGGATCAGCAGTCCTTTGTTTTGTGTCCTGTTTGTCCATTTTGGATAGCACACTGTCAGCAATTGCTGCAAGGGCACTTTGTTGCTCAGTGGCTAACTTTTGCCACAGTGAAAGTTAACTCTGTATGTAGTTTCTTCAATGCCCATATCTTCTCTGATTGGTGCTACCAGGAGCTGACATGTCTCATAGCCATTAAAAAAACGAAAAATTCTAAGTTATTAAAAATTTCAAATGCCATATTCTATAGATCTCTGAAGGGTTTAAAGATGACCTGTCTATCTAAAATATATCTCTGCTTAACCTTAAAAACACCAAATGTGACTACAAGTTTGATTGTAATGTCTAACTACTAACTTTCATTTCTTTATAGCCTAATAGTTGGTAATAATAACATTCAAGGATTAGCAAATTGCATTACTTTGTTAAATGAACTGTATAAATACAATATCTTGAACAAGCAATATCCACAACAATATATGTACAGCATTTTCTAACAATATCAATCTCTCTCTATATATACATATATATATAATATGTATACAATATATAAAAATCCAATCCAATGTAAAGTATTTAAAACTAGTAGTTGTCTTAAAAGTAGATTCAATAATCTATCTTGTAGCTAGAGTTTTCCTGGTCCTGCCTGGCCCCCAGTCAGGACAAATCTTTTTCACCTGCCAGTACCGCAGCTGCTCAGACCCAACCAAATTAACACACAGAGACTTATATTGGTTACAAACTGTATGGCCATGGCAGGCTTCTTGTTATCTAGTTCTTCTATCTTAAATTAACCCATTTCTATTCATCTATACCTTGCCACATGGCTTACCAATATCCTACATGTTGGTACTC